GTAGGATAAGTGTCCTTCAAAATATGTGTCAGATTCAAAAATAAACTATCAGCCACTTAGAACTTATGAAGCTGTACAAGCATCTACAAATTAACATCTTATAAGTGGGATCTGCTCTTGTGGTCTGATGAGTCATAAACTGTACTTTATCGCACAGTCGGATTGTGTCTTGCTGGCACTAACAAAACAGAATCATGAGGAAGAAGTACTTGCACACTAATTTCATGACCTTATTACTCTAATTGAATTCTCTCCCTACTGTTAGGTATCAGGAAGCCATTGATAAATATGGATCGGTGATGAAGACAGAACCTAACGTCCCGTTCTACACCAACCTGGCCAAAGAGAGAATCTGTTTCTGCCTCGTCAAGGTGAGAGAAAAAAGGAGAACTTTGTCTCTACATTCAAAACTCCAGAGGTAACTTCTTTCTTTTTCTCCCAGTGGTTCACGTTAAAGGCCTCCTTCTCCTTAAACATCTTAGTTTCTTACCAATCCCAGGTTAAGTTGGCTGAGGAGGCGATAGACGTGTGCTCAGAGGCCCATCAGAGAGACCCCCGCAACGCCAACATCCTCCGCGACCGAGCGGAGGCTTACATCCTCAACCAGGACTACGAGAAAGGTATAAGGACTCAGATTTTTCCTGAAACAGCTTTGTTGCAGTTATAAGCTTTGTTTCTAAAAGACAGTTTATGAATATATTTTCATTTGTAACACCAATAATGGATAACACTGTTCTACATGTTCTGAGTCTACCAAGGGGCCTCCTACCAGTAGGTCGTGTCCAAGAAACCTCCAAATAGATATTATTTCTAAGATTAGTGTACAGTATCTTGCTACTTATGAAGTTATTTGGGCTTTTGTTGTGAAAAAGAAACAAATCTGGACAAAAAAAGTCATTTTGAAACTAAATTTTGTGTTGTCCATATAGGATCAAAGCAAATATGTGTTGGATGAACTCTTACTGCATGGTCGTTTTTTAAAAAAAACATCTTTTAAAATCTGTTTTGCTTCAGCTGTGGAGGACTACCAGGAGGCGAGAGAGTTTGATGGTGACAGCAACGATATCAGGGAAGGACTGGAACGAGCACAGAAACTGCTGAAAGTCTCTCGTAAGAGGGACTACTATAAGATCCTGGGTGTCAGCAGGTAACCAGTTTTATTACGGTGCTGATTTCCTCTGGTCCATCCATTGTAGATGACTT